TCTGTGGCTCAGTGGTTGAGCATCGACTTACGCACCAAGAGTTTGCTGGTTCAATTCCTGGTCAGGGCACATGCCCAGATTGTGGGCCCAATCCCCAGTGGGGGCATGCAGGAGGTGGCCAATCTATGTTCTCTCTCATTGATGTTTCTATCTCTCTCTCCCTCTCCTTTCCTCTCTAAAATCAATAAGAAAAAAAAATTTTAAATCAATAAATATCACTCAAATCTAATTTCATAAATATAGTGATAACTAATTTTTTAAAAATTGATCTTAGAGCCCTGGCCAGTTTTGCTCAGCGATTAGAGCATTGGCCTGCGGTCCGGAGAGACCCAGGTTTGGTTCCTGCTAAGGGCATGTACCTCGGATGCAGATTGTCCTCGGCCCTGGTTGGGTCGTGCAGGTGGCAGCCACACGATGTGTCCCTTTCACGTCGATGTTTCTCTCTCTCTCTCCCTCCCACTCTATCTGAACAAAAAATGGAGAAATGTCCTCGGGTGAGGATAAAAAAAAATTGATCTTAGAGAGGGATGAGGGAGAGAGAGACACAGAGAGACAGAGAAACATGGATCAGTTGCCTCCTGAACAGAGCCCTAACTGAGGATCAAACCCACAACCTAGGCATGTGCCCTGACTGGGAAACGAACCCAGGACCTTCAGATGCACAGAACAATGCTCCAACCAACTGAGCCACACCAGCCAGAGCAGCGATAACCACTTTTATCAGACATTTATTATGTTCCAGGCTCTGTTCAAAGCACTTTAAAATACATTAATTCATTCCTCATTACAACCCGTTTTACAGATGTGAAAATTGAGATATCTTATTTTACGGACATGCAAACTAAGACTCAGGTCAATTAGGTAGCTTTCCTAAAGTGACAGTGTGTTAGAGGTGGAGCAGGTATTCAGACCCTGTTATCCCTGATTCTTAAACACTCTGCTTCCTCCTAAAATACATAAAAGCATGGCTTATCTTTTACTTTGGGTGGCATACATGAGAGGGGGCAATAGAGATACCGTTTTTAAAACCACTAGTCTAGCCTACCCAGCCAGTGTGGCTCAGTGGCTTGAGTGTTGCCTCATGCACCAAGAGGTCACAGGTCCGATTCCCAGTTGGGGCACATGCCCAGGTTGTGGACTCAATCCCCAGTAGAGGGCATGCAGGAGGCAACTAATTGATGTTTCTATCTCTCTCTCCCTCTCCCTTCCTCTCTCTCTAAAAATCAATAAAAAAAAAATATTTGAAAAAAGAAAGAAAAGTAAACCACTAGTCTAAACATCTTTCTCTCCTCCATTTTCCTGTGGGAGTAATTGGGCACCAAGAAGTGATGATGGTAGTAGGTCACACAGCACTGAAGGCTGGAGCCTCTACTCTCTCTTGGGAGTTTAAAGGGAAGGAACTGACATTTCCTTTGAACCTAATGAGTCGGGGAGATTTTGATACAGATGATCTCCTCTACTATCCTATAACATAGTTATTTATATTTGCATTTTTACAGTGGAAGAAAATTTTGTTTAGAAATTCTAGTTAAGCCTTGGCCAGTTTGGCTCAGCCGTTAGAGTGTTGGCCTGCAGTCCAGAAAGACCCGGGTTCGGTTCCCGCTGAGGGCAAGTTCCTTGGTTGCAGTTTGTCCCCGGCCCTGGTTGGGTCGTGCGGGTGGCAACCACTCAATGTGTCCCTTTCACATCGATGTTTCTCTCTCAGCAAGGGCACGTACCTGGGTTGCAGGTTCAATCCCTAACCCCACCTGGGGTCATGCAGGAGGCAACCAATTGATGTATCCCATCGATGTTTCTCTCTCTCTTCCTCCTTCCCTTCTACTCTATCTAAAAGTAAATGGGAAAATATTTTTGGGTGAGGATTAACAATAATAATAATAATAACAACAACAACAAGAAGATCAGAACCCTCATCCTAGCAGGGTAGCTCAGATGCCTGGTGCCTCTCTCCCTCCCACTCTATCTGAACAAAATATGGAAAAGTGTCCTCAGGTGAGGATAAAAAGAAAAGAAAGAAAGAAAAGAAATTCTAGTTAAGTCATTTGCCAAAAGCAAGATTCAAACCCAGGTCCCCTGACATGCAAACCCAGGTTGTTCCCCTAGTACCCTTAGCTCCATCCCTCCTGCTGCTGAGTCAACCTTCCTTCCTGATATAGACAGAATAAATCCACCCCCAAGTTCCCTGACCCCGCCCCAGACTCCCTTCTGAGCCCTACAGCCAGATAATACACCCGCAAGCCTTCTCTGCTCTGGGGCCTCAAGTCCCCTGACATCTGTCCTGACCTCCCTCCCACACAAATGTAGAAGCAAGCACCAGCATCAATGGCATCATTTCACCGAGACATTTGTAAACTGGTTCCAAACTGGACCGGCAGTCTGGGGGCTTGTGACCTGTGTGTTCTAGATCTTATTACTCAAATGGTGGTTTAAAGCAGCAGCAGCAGCACCTTGGGGCCTATTAGAAATGCAGACACCCCAAACCTACTGAATTAGAATCTGCTTTTTAAGAGGATTCCCAGGTGATTCATTTGCACATTAAAGTCTGCACAGTGCTAAGTTAGACCTGAATCCCAAGGGAAGCAGGCTTATGCCCACCTGCCTGTGTAACTGACCTTCTTTCCACTCTTGGCTGGGTTATAAGGGGCAGCTGTGAGTTGGTTGATGTTATTGTAAAGAGAACTTGGATATTAAATTGCACCCAAGGCCTGGGAGATTACAGCAACAAAGGGACCCTGGTTGGTTGGTTGCGACCAGCATCTGCATGGTGGACTGAGACAGGCCCAAGAGATTTGTTGCAGAAAGAATTCAGAAACCTATTGCCACCTCCAAACAGGATTTTATGATGCAACAAAGTGGAGAAATGAATAGGGCTCTTGGTTTTAACTAAACTGGGGTATGCTAAATTGGAAAATAGTTTAAACAATGTTTTTTTGCATTGAAACTGCATATTTATAATACTAACCAGGACACTAAAAGGAAACCTATTTGACACTGGGTTTGCTGAAATAACTTTTAAAACGTGTGACAAGAGTCTCTCCTAACAGTAAGAACAACAAAGAAAAGCATTAGCCTGACAGAAACTGGACTATTATTACACTGACTGCATTTCAAAGTAGAATGCATTGTAGAATAAACACCTACTGGAATCTAGCTGCTCTGCTGCAACAAGTTTGGATTTGCTATTGAACAAATCTACAAGCCTGCGGCCGGAGGCATGCTGTTTTTCTGCAACAGGACCTTGCAGAGTACCCCACTGTACCAGCAGCCTGGTGCCTGGAGTGCCTGTGCGACTTCTATCACAAGAGGGAACGATGCTGAGAGGGAACACTGTTATATGGGCAAAACTTGTCAAGTGCATTGCCATGTGCAGGACAACTGACGTAAAGGACTGTAGGAATTGCAGGCCTCAGTTAATGATGAGCACCTATTCCATGCTCTGATGTTGGTGGAGCAGCAATGCTATCCCATTTTATGGTCGAGGACACTGAGACTCAGGGCTAAGTTCAGGGGGTCATCCAAGTTCTCATGACTGGTGAACAGCAAGCAGGGTAGGATACGGACTTGGGTCTTCTGGCTACATCCTGCCTTTCCTTGCAAAGAGACTACATATGCTTTGAAGTAGGATCAGGAAACTTGTAGGAACAAAAATATGCATATTTTACCTATTCAAACCTAGAATATTTTGTTGCAATTTTTAAGGATCTGGACATGTTATGACATATGATGCAAATATCTTATTTCTAAGAGGCCACAGGTATCTGGAATTTGGGCAAATCCGAGACCAATATAATGACAGCAAATCAAAGGTGTAATTAGAATGAAGTCTTGTTTGGCTCAGTGGGAAGCGACCCGAGTTCAAGTTTTGGCTGTATCACTAAATAAGACATCACCTAGGCTAAAATGTAGTCTCTGGGATCCAGCGAAATCACACTCATTCTTTAAGGCCCAGCCCTAAGTAGCCACCTTTGTGAAACCATCCCAGATTCTTATCTCATTCCCATCACCCCAAAGAGGTAGTGCCTGATTCCTGGTATTCAGTTTACCAGTGATTTGGGATGTACTGGCTTCTACTACCTCTTCTCACTAGAACAGGGCTCATCTTGGCGGGCTTAGCAAGTCGTAGAGCCCAGCTCTCTTTGCCAGGAAGTAGCATAGAGAACTGAGATCTATCTAAGGCACCCGGAACATGGCCACTTTGTGCCACAACCCCTCTGCCACCTCCTGGCTACCAAACTCGACCATTCCTCTTCAACAAAGACCACCGTAGGGTGCAAATCCCCGACGTTCCTGGGGCCACCCCACATACTGTAAGCACGTGGAAGTGCAGGGCAGACCTCTATGCGCGCAGCGGCACTGTGCCCACCCCTTGCCCCGGTGCCCAGCATATTGCCAAGCACGATGGGCTCCGAGCACACGCTCGTGGATTGGGATGGAGCAGAGGGCAGGGAGACACTGCGAGTAGACGTCGCCACTTGACTGAGTGGAGGCCACGGTTGTGAGTGCCCAGTGGGGCCAGGGGAGGAGAGCCAGGCCGCTCCGTCCAGCCGGGCGCCAGCTCCTCCCGCCGGGCGGGTACCCACCGACTACGGGCACACAAAGCCTGCTCAGCGAGCTCGGCGATCGGCTCCGCACGCCTGTGTCGCCGCGCGCCGCCAGGCGGCTTCAGGTTGGGCGTCGGGCGGTGGCAGGCCCGAGCGTCCAGAAGCTGCGCGCATCGAACCTCGGCGGGAGGGGGTGCGGAGGGGAAGGAGGAGGAGTGGGGGAGGAGGGAGCAGGAGTGGGGACCGGGAGGGGGGTGGAGGAAGAGGCCTCGCGCAGAGGAGGGAGCAATTTAATTTCAAACACAAACAACTGCACGAGCGCGCACCCACGGAGCCGGAGTGTCGCCCGGGATCGGCGCCCGCCCCGTCCGTGTGGCGCGCGCGGGGAGACGCCGTGGCCGCGCCGGAGTTCGGGCCGGGGGCCGCCATCGAGGCGGGGGCCGCGCGAGGGCCGGAGCAGAGCGGCGCAGCCACCGCCGCACGCGCCAACTTGGGCTCGCGCTTCCCGGCCCGGCGCGGAGCCCGGGGCACCCGGAGCCCAGCCATGTCGCGATCCAACCGGCAGAAGGAGTACAAATGCGGGGACCTGGTGTTCGCCAAGATGAAAGGCTACCCACACTGGCCGGCCCGGGTGAGCAGCGCGGCTAGCCGTCCGATTCCCCCTCGGGCTTGGGTTGCATAACACCCGGGAGGGTGCGAGCGCTCCGCGAGGAGAGGTGGGGGCGGGGGGTCTGAGCCCCGACTTTTTGCCCAGCGCCTCCAAGCTCACTCGCCGGTTATATAATGGGGGAAGCGATGGGGTGGGGGCGGCGAACACCTGGCCGGACGGTGTCCGAGCGTAGAGGTGTGCGCGCGGCGTGGGGACCCGAGGGCGCGGGTCACTTCCCGACTTGGCTCTGCGTGCTCAGTTCTCCCCCAGTCCTCGTATTCCCGCAGTTTCGGACCCGCTACCTAGGTTTGGGCTGGTCGTGTAACTCCTCCCACCCTACCCCCCAGGCGCCACGCCACCCCCTCTGGGATCCCCTTAGAGACCCCCAGTTTCTTCGTTAATTGTTGCCCGCAGCTCAAACTCCTTCCTGGGTTAAATGGTTAAAGAAGGATCCCAGCCCAGAAAGGAATAGATGGAGGCGGAGTTCGCTTCTAGAAAACTTTAGTTCAGGGCGTCCTTAAGAGGTCTGAAGTTGGAAGGGTCGAGGAGTGGTTGGAGGCGGCGTAAGAGGGGATCTACCAGGTTCAGAAATTATCTGCCAGAACCCGCTTTCACTTCTCAGCCCCACAAAAATATGCCTCAGTATGCTGCCAACACACATTCGTGGCCGAGGGCCCCAGTGGGGCAGGGAAGGCCACGCCAGACTGCCCCTTCGTGAAGGCGAGGCGAGGTGGGGTGGAGAGCCGGAATAGCTTCTACACCTCCCCCCGCCCCAACGTGAGCCTCTCGCGCTGGAAAGGCCATGTGGTGGATCAGCCCGCCAATATGAGGGCCCCTCCCCCCTCCAGCACCTGGCCAGGTGGGAGGGTGGGGCCCCAAAGCCCTTCTGGGTATGTTGTAATGTTTCCCCAGAGGGCTGAGACAGGTGAAGTAAAGAGGGAGGAAGGAAGGTGGTCAGAGGGAGGCTTTAGTATTAAGGTGCCTAGAGTGTAGGATTGGACTCGTGCAGAGTGAAATCCAAAGGTGGAGAGCAGTAGAGGGAGGGTGACTTCTGGGCCAGGGGGCCAAGTGCAGAAGAATTGCCTTAAGGCTGTGGGTTGCTCTTCTTGGCAGTGTGAGTCTGTGTCTCTTCATCTGGCCCAGATCCTGCTCTGAGCTTAGGAAGTTACCCCAGTCTTCCTGGGGTTCTGTTCAGAGTGTCAGGCCAACTTTGGGGTTACTCTGAGGAAACCTAGAAGACCCTTTCTCATTCTGTAACTTTTGAGCAGTATGCCTAATCCCATATGCTTTGAGCTCCTTGTTTCCTGAAACTTCTAGATGCCTGGCTTTTGGAATGGGAGTGAAGTACAAAGAGAATAAGACTCTTCCAGCTTCCAGGGCCTCCTGGAGGACTAGTGGAGGCAATGTGAGGCAGCAACCATAGAAGCCTTGTGTGTGCATGCCTGTGTGTGGCATGTGAACACTCATGTACTTTACCCAGCACCTTTGATCCAACTGGCTTCTTGGCCTAGATGCCAAGGCCCTGGTGGGCAGGGCAAGAACTGAATCCAGTTCTCTTACTGCTCCTGCCTCCTGGGGTGGGACAAAGTCCAGAAACTGGGTTAAGGCCTAGGGAAGGGTTACAGCTGGAATGTGGGTTGCAGGGAACCCCTTCAGCATCAGGGAAGAGAGAAGGGGTCGGGGAAGACAGGTGGGCCTACATTGACTCTGTGAGGATTATACCTTCAGGTTTCTGGTGGCCTTTGGAATGAGGGCAATGCCTGGGACGGGATGCCATTCATTTCCCCTCTTCCCACTGGCCTCCAGGGCAGAGGGTGGGACAAGGAGGCAGAGGCCCTTCCTTCGTTGTTGCCTGGGCCTTTTAGATAAAGTTAAGGCTGGGAGAGGGAGATCAGACAGGGTTCCCAGAGCTGGGGCCCCACCCTTTGCCTGTGCTCTGGCTCTTGACTGTCACAATTTGTCACAATTCGGGGGGGGGGGTGCGCTACACTCAAGGCTGTTACTTCTGACATAAGTACCCCCCTTAAACACCAAAATCAATCCCTTCACCATCCCTTGAATGTGGTCTTAGTCCCTAGAGTGGCAAAGCCTGAAGAGGCCTGGTCCCTCCTCAGGTGGAGGAGGAGCTGGGGACTACCACTGTGCTGTAGTGAACTCCGGAAGGCCACTGTGTGGACTTTCCTTTCAAAGTCCCTGCTTCTGGGTAGGATGGATGATTCTGATGAGACTAGAACAGCCCAGTGCTGGGAGAGTCCAGCCAGAGGGGCTACGTGGTAGACAAGATCTACCTGGAAGGATGATGTGACTCCATCTTGACCTTCTCCTTTCCCTCTTCCTCCTGCCTGACTTCCTAGGGGATCTCTGAGCACTTAACAATTAACCTCCAAGACTCAGGGGTTGTCCCCCCCACACCCACACCCCAGGTTCCTTCCTCCTTTCTCCCTTCCTGTTTCACAGTCCCAGAAAACCTGAGCAGCCAGAGGGCCTCACCCATCTTTCCTCCCTCTGCCCCTCCCCCACATCCAGGCACTACCTTCTCTTTTCTGCCTCTTGGGTTTGCCACACTTTCCCAGCCCCAACTGTCTCCTGCCCCAGATTTTCCGGTTCCTGAGTCAGGTGGAGCCTCGGCCCTGGGTGTGGTGGTCAGAACCCCAGTTGGCAGGCAGTATGGGCTTGGCCTTCCCTGCTGCTTTCCTCTGTACTGGGCAGGCCTGGATTTGGTCTGAGGATGGGGGTGAGGTATTCCGTTCTCTCCTCCACTCCTGGCAACTTCAGATCCCTCTTCAGACCTCAGGGTGTGCATGGGCTGTGGGAGGACCAGATTTCATATGCTCAGGCCTGTCCGATAGAGCCAGGCAAATGCAGAGGGGTAGGAATGAGTGGGCCTGGTCTGGGAGAAAAAGTAACTTGCCTGGTTTCCTGGAATGGCTGAGGAATAGCAGAGCCCCCTCCCCTGTTGGGCCAGTGGAAGGGACACAGTGGGTCTCCAGCTCTCATCTGGCCCCACCCTGACCCACTTAGCCTTGACTCACTTGTTGAGTCACAGTCTGGATATAAAAGCACCGCCTGGGAGACATATGTCTGTATTGGGGGTACAAGTATTCTCAGAGACCTCGTATCTTCCAAATGCAAGAAAAGACATTTCCTTTTTAGCTTGAAGGATGGAGGGTCCACTATAGAAGGGATTTCTCCTGGAGAGGGAGGGGGGCTGTTGGAAATTCCATTATGTGAAAAGAGCACACCTCCTGGCCCCTTCCCCACAGGTGCCTACACACAAGGTGAGCCAGAGGAGTGGGATTATCCTTTTGGGGTAGATGCCATGCATCTGCCCAGGCTCTGGCCTCTCTTCTCCTCTAGACCCACCCTTTATTTGGCTAGAGGCCAGCAGGGCGGGTTTATCTGGTGTGTCTCATTCTGTCTATTTTTAATTCCTATCCATTCTTTTGTTTCTCTCCCACCCCCGAGGCTGGGCAGCTGTGGCCTCCTGGGTCCTGTCACACCAGTCAGCTACCTCTCTCCAAGTTTGCTTTCCATGGGAAAGAGACTGGTGGTCAGGGGAGCTGCTTTGCTGTTCTGTGCTCCTTGAGAGCACTTCACTCACCCCACCACCTCTCCTGAGCCTCAGTTTCTCCCCTTTCATCACACATTTCCTACTAGCATGTTCATGCCCTGGCTTCCAGTGTGGACACTGAAAAGGCAGAGCTCAAAGTTTACTGCTGTCAGCTGGAGACCCTTAGATCCCTCCCCTGCCCTGTTCCTGGTGCAGAGACCCACTGGGAAGACGCCTAGGGAAGAAGTTTGCTATTATTGTACTGTACCAGTCTCCTGGGATCTCTAAATCCCTGGAGGCTCTCATTTTGTTTTTGCTTCTCCCTCTGAGAAGAGGGTGGGGAGCTATCTGGTAACTGGACCCAGGTGTCCTGGCCGAAGACAGGCTCCTCTTCCTCCGCGCGCCGGCCCCCCCCCCCCTCGTCCCCAGCTTCTTGAGAAGGGCTCAGGCCCTCCAGCCCTAGCTGTGGTTTCAAGCACAGCCCTGGGCCCCAGGAGCCAGACTCTAGGCTTGGGGGTGGGGTGTGTGTTAGTGTCCCCTCCTCCCCAGTCCGGAGAGTGTGTGGGGGGAGGGGTGGTCACATTCCTGGTTGCTGAGTGGCAGGGGAGGGGGGTTGGGTTGTCATGGCGATGGAGATCCTGTGTGTGTTTTTGGTGGTGGTGGGGGGGACTGTGTGCCTTTCCACCTCCTGCGTTTACACCTCAGAGTCTCCTGGTCCTAGGGAGGCCCAGTTGGTGTCTGGCCTTCCTGGGGGGAGGGGCTGGACCTCTGTCCCCAGAGGCCACAGGGCAAGTGGGGGAGGTGCCCAGAAGCATGAAGACTCCATGTCTGGAACTAGATGCCCCTCAGATTCGTGCCTAGGGCTCCACCCCCTCTCCTGGGTCTATCTTAACTAATTTCCATCTTCCCAGCTCCCATGTCTCCCCAGACCCCCCAGACAGGCACTCTGTTCCAGTCTTGATGCCTTAATCATTGCCTTGGCCTGTCTGTCTCTTTCCTATCTGCGCCCGGGGCCCCAGTCAACATGGCCACCTGGCCTCTGTCCGAGGGAAGCTTGGTTGCTGGAGCTGCTTGCTGCAAGTGCTGCTGGGAGTTGTAGTTTCCCCTCAGTTCAGCTTGGCCTGGGCTTCCAGGGCCTGATTTGAGAGGCTGGCTAGGCCACTGCCTCTCTCCATTCCCCGGACCTCAGACCTCTGCACCTTCACCACCACATTGCTCCAGCACCCAGGACACGTAGAGCAGGGGACCAAGTCGGGAGGTCTATCTCCAAGATTTGGCCTTTACTAATTTGCCCTGTTAATTTGGGCAAATCACTTTTGAAAGTGTTCCCTAGAAGCCTTTTGGGGCTGCTGAGGGGGGAGGTGGAATAGGCAGCTCCTTGGCCTCACCCCTCCACTACAACCAGAGCTGTCTACTTTTGCCTATTTCAGAGATTCGTTCCGCAGTCCTTACTGTGCAGCTGCTGTGTGCTAGGCACTGTGCTATAGACAAAAACAGACGACCTCTCTGATTTCAGGGCAGGTATAGTCCACATAGACCTTAGTTAGATGAGAGTATGAATAACTGTAAAATTGGAATTGTGAAAAGTGCTGTGAAGGAGAAGTGCTAAGAGAGTTTTATCTGGGAAGCTGACCAGGTTGGGAGAGATGAGGGACTTTCTGGAGGAAGTGATAATAGGGCTGAGGTTGAAAGGCTGGTCAGACGTTGGTGAGTATATAGGAGGCTGAAGGATCGGTCTGACTCGAGCATCAAGCAGAAGGGCTGCCCACTGGGAGAGGATGAGGAGACCAAGCACATATGTGAGATGTATTATGTGCCAGGTTACAGTCATTTAGTTCTCACAACCCTGTGGCTTAAGTACTATGACTGTCTCCATTTTACAGATGAGGAAACTGAGGCAGAGAGGTTCCATAAGTTGCCTAATATAAAAAAAGTGGCAGCATTGGGATTCAGACCTTGACATTATGGAGAAGAGGTGAATATGAATGTGGGTGGGCCCTAGATTCGTGAAAAGCCATTGAAAGGTTTCCAGCAGGGGGAGGAGATGCTCATTCGCATCAACACTTCAGCAGGCCCACTCTGGCTTCAGTGGGGAGAATGGATTGTGGTGGGGCGAGAATAGAGTCTGAAAGAAGAGATAGATGCTGTGCTTTCAGTCCAGGCAAGAGGTGACAGTGGTTGGACCAGGGCGATAGCAAAGACGCGGAGCGTATGGATAGGATCTGGGCATGATGAGGGCAGAGTGGATGCTCTTTTGATTTATGAAGGAGAGGGGGTGACTCCAGGGTTTCTGCTGGGCTATCATGTCTAACTTTGAACAAAGTTCCATGGCTAAGAATGATCCCAAAGCCACCTTGGTGATTTCCTGGGTCCCGCTCAGTCTTTTACACTGATGTGCCTTAGAGGTCAGCCCCCCACCCCCAAATCCGCAATCTCAGACCCTCAGCTCAAGCTTACTTCTCTCATCTTGCTCACAGATTGACGAGATGCCCGAGGCTGCGGTGAAATCAACAGCCAACAAATACCAAGTCTTTTTTTTCGGGACCCATGAGACGTGAGTGAGGGGGCAGAGTTGGGGGGGCAAGGGCAGACCACTTTGGGGAAACGGGTGGTTATTGCGCCCCTTCCCTGTCAGGCTGCGCAGCTCAGAGGCAGTGAGGGGCTCGAGAGCACAGTCTCCCATCTCTCACCAGGGCATTCCTGGGCCCCAAAGACCTCTTCCCTTACGAGGAGTCCAAGGAGAAGTTTGGCAAGCCCAACAAGAGGAAAGGGTTCAGCGAGGGGCTGTGGGAGATCGAGAACAACCCTACTGTCAAGGCTTCTGGCTACCAGGTGAGCTGCCAACTGCCCAGGAGACCCCCTGGAGCGCAGGTGTGGCCATAGGCTCTGGGCACCCCGGCCCACACATGATACTTAGTCTTCAGGAATGGGTCTCAGAAATGCCAGGGCTTTCAGAGTAGCAGCTCATAGGGCAGAGGGGCGGGGGTGGCTTCTGGCAAGAGGGGATGGGGTTGCAGGTCTATGGTGTAGTTGTGGTGAGGCCTGGGAGGCAAGAACAGGATGGAGGCGGTAAGTGGGGAGGCCTTTGTTGGGCCCAGCATGAGTGTAGGACTTGGCCTTAACTCTTCCACAAAGGCTTCCTGGAGGAGGTGCTGGTGAGCCGGGCAGGATGAGGCGGGAGGGTGGGGGGCGGGGGTTGGCGGGGAAAGGGTCCCAGCTCCCTTTGGGAGAAGTTGACCCGAGGTTTTGCCTCCTGCTCCAGCCCTCCCCCCTCCTGCACAGAGCCCTGCCTGCCCGGCCAGTGGGTTTACCCCGGGGCTAATCCGACAGAGGTGGGTCTCAAATCACTTGTGAGACTGGGCACCTGGGTGGGGGTGGGGGAGCGGTGGGAAAAGGAAGGAGTGAGTGGCTGAGGGAGGGGTCTGGGGAGGGGCCTAGCATGGCAGCCACTGGTGCCACTCAGCCTCTGCTGTCACTGCCACAGTCCTCCCAGAAAAAGAGCTGCGTGGAAGAGCCGGAGCCTGAGCCTGAGCCTGAAGCCGCAGAGGGCGATGGTGACAAGAAGGGGAACACTGAGGGTAGCAGTGATGAGGAAGGGAAGCTGGTTATCGATGAGCCCACCAAGGAGAAGAATGAGAAGGGGGCGCTGAAGAGGAGAGCAGGGGACCTGCTGGAGGTAACTGGCCCATGCCTGGGGTCCAGGAGCCGGGTTCCCAGCCTGAGAAATAGACCTGACCCTAATCTTGGCGAATCTCTTGCTGAGAAGATGGAACACAGAAGACATTTTAGCCAGCAGACGGCTGGGGAGGGACTGGGGATACCCAGGAAGGAGCCTCTTGGGAAAGGAGGGGGAAGCACAGGCAGGTGGCTACCATCCTCCTTCTCCAGCCTCAGCCCACCTCCTCTCTACCAATCCTGCCTAGGACTCCCCGAAACGTACCAAGGAGGCAGAAGACCCTGAAGGGGAAGAGAAGGAGGTGGCCATTTTGGAGGGTGAGCGGCCCTTCCCTGTGGAGGTGGAGAAGAACAGTACCCCCTCTGAGCCCAGCTCTGGCAGGGGGCCTCCTCCAGAGGAAGAGGAGGAAGAGGCTGCCAAGGAAGATGCTGAGGTCCCAGGCATCAGAGATCATGAGAGGTGAGTGAGCCCTGCCCTGGCAGCTGGGTTGGAAGGGCCCAGTCCCCTGTGGAAGAGGAGGTAGAGGGCCTGCAGTTATCAGTCTCTCCGGAGGTGGGAGGCAGGAGGCCAGGTGGGATTTGCCAGGAGATGGCACTGGCTGGGACAAGGGCAGGCTAAGGCCTCAGCATTAACCCTTCTCCCCTCCAACCCTCCCTCACAGCCTGTAGCCACCAATGTTTCAAGAGGAGCCCCTGCCCCGTTCCTGCTGCTGTCTGGGTGCTACTGGGGAAACTGGCCATGGCCTGCAAACTGGGAACCCCTTCTCCACCCCAACCTGTTCTCTTCCACTCACTCTCCCTTCCCAAGTCCAGCCCCTGGAGATTGACCTGGATGTGGCAAGCAGCTACCTGGCCCTTACCTCCATGTCACCTCCATGTTTCCGCATCCCTGGGATCTGAGTCAGGGCTATGTCTTCTGCTCCATGGGATGAGATGAAGCCATTGTGTCCTTCCCTGCCTGGAGCTGTGTCACAGGGTTTCTGGACCAGCTGTTTCCACCTCCTGACACCCTTTTGCCTCTTCCCCAGGCATTCTGGATCTCTGGGTTGGTTGGGATCAGAGTTAGGAGTAGAAAGAATGGAGAATAAATAGCAAGGGTGGGCTTCTGGGGCCTGAGAGGGACAATCCTCAAATTGGGGTGGGGAGGCAGGCAGAAGGATGGCATCTTCTTTAGCTCCTGTCCCTTCCTCCCACATCTCCTGTCCCCGCTGCCTATATTCAGGAAAAGTGGGACAGCTTGTGAGGGATGTACTTCCTTCCATAAATCCTTGATGAGTGGTTAACACCCATTCTTCCCTTTGCTGACCCCAAAAGTTCTAGGAGTTGTAGGTATTCATCAAAAGATTTTGGGGTTTCCCAGTTATTTGGTCCAAGGACCTGGGATCTGAATGGTTGATTTCACCCAGCTTGGGTGGAAATGTTGAGGAGTAGCTGTCCCCCTTTAGATCTTGGGCCAGAGATGTAATACCTTGGGGAGATCCCTAGCTGCCCTTTCCCTCTCCCCACAGTGCTCAAGGCCAGCCTGCAGTCACATGTCACTCAGACATAAAGGAGAAGACACATTTTTTAGGAAATGTTTTTAATAAAAGAAAATTTAAAAAAAATTTAAAGATCCCTATCCCTTTGTGTGCCCCTCACTTTGCTCCTTTCTTCTCCACTGATGCCCTCATTTCTGAGGTGCACTGGGAGGCTCCCCTTCTGTTTGGGCTTGATGGCTTTTCTTTTGTAGCTGGGGCTTTGGTGTTCCTTCTGGTGTCATTTCCCATCTACATACTCCACCTGGTCTCAGTGTTGTCATCAGATCTGATTTATAACCCACTGAGAGGATAGGGAAATGAATGCCCTCTCCCAACCTCTTTCTAGTGGTCTCTATGCCTCTCTTCCATCTCGTGTCCCTTTCACCCCTGTCCCTCTCCCTAGGGCTCTGATGAAAAATTGTTGACTGTAGAAGTTTAGCTCTGAGAACTGTAGACAATTTCAGTTCTAGGAAAATAAACCTGTTGATTACTACATTGGATTCTGACTGATTTATTTGGGGTATATTGAAGAGAAGGAGAGGGGAAGGGGAATACAAATGATTTCCAAATTAACTTTTGAGATTGAGGTAGGGGGTATCAGCCTCTCCTCCATTCTCAGGCTGTTAGAAGTATCCAAAATTCTATGAGGGCAAAGTCACAGAATAAACTATGCCATTTCAGTTATTCTTGTGCCCAGCCAGTTTGTAACACAGGTTCCATCATAAACACCTGGGAATGTTTTAAAAAAAATTTTTTTCTTGCATAAGTGAGCATCAGCCAAAAGCCTGTGATGACCATGGAAGTGTGGGTATTTGGGCTGGTTGTAGAAGCAACTGACACCCAAAGGTCAGAGCTGGGTACACCAGGCACCCATAACTGGTGATTAGAGACGAGAAGCTTGATAGGGTGGAGTCTTCCCAGTACTCCAAGTCAAGTGAAATGGCTGGATTAGATCATATGTTATTCCTTCCAGATTTAAAATTTTGTGACTAGATCATTGGCATTGGATGTACATTGGCCCATGTACATCCCTTCCTTTAGAAGACCTAAGGCAGTTTTTTAATCTGGCTTGGTTACCTCCAACAGCGAAGGGCCTGTGAGGAGTGTACTGTCAGTAGCCTTATTTTTTTTTAATCTTCACCCGAGGATACTTTTCCATTTTTTGTTCAGATAGAGTGGGAGGGGGAAAGAGAGAGAAACATCGTTGGGAAAAGGACACATGGAGTGGTTGCCACCCACACAACCCATTCAGGGCCGGGGACAAACTGCAACCAAGGCCAAGGTACATGCCCCTAGCGGGAACCGAACCGGAGTCTCTGGACCGCAGGCCGATGCTCTAACCGCTGAGCCAAACCGGCCAGGGGACTGTCTAGCCTTGCCTGGAAAGGGTGGCCTTATGCTTTGAATTGGAAGCCACAATCGGCTAGAAAATGGAACCATCGTCTGAACTACAATTCCCAGCAGCCCCCACAGCATGTACAGGAATGAGCCAGGTGTGGCAGCCTAGTCCCCTTTGCCTCCAAGGACCGTCGCGCTTCACGGTGATCTTACGCCTTCTTGATTTCCTACCCGACTCAATTTCCTGTTTCAGCGCTCTTTGTAAAGGCGGACTACAACTCCCAGCAATGCAGAGAGGCTAGATTGATTGAGCTTTCGCTCTACGATTAGACTACATTTCCCAGAAAGCCGAGGGACGGGGATGGGCGGGGCTCGGGGGCCACGTGCAAGAGGTAATTGGCGGAAGCTCTCGGGCGCAGTGGAAAGCAGAGGTGAGGCCCGCGCGGCCTGTGGGTGTTGGCGACTTTTGGTTGGGGGTGGGGGCGTGTGCGATGAGGGCCTTCCTTTTCCCGGGCTCTCATTAAGTGGTGTCGCCTGGAGATGCCCTGCACTGGAAGCTCGGAACGGGTGGGTGCTCCAGCCTACTGGCTGGCGGAGAAGCCTTTGGGGCTGGAGCCTGAAGGGCAGATGCGCCACCGCACTCCTAGCACGGCGCTTCCGCGAAAGCCCCACTGTGAAAAGGGCACCATCCTCTCCTAGGGTATGGGGGCGTGGGGAGGAAGCTATCCAGAGAGCTGGCTTTTGGGATCTCCTCCCAGAGCTTTAGGTTTAGAATAGCTGAAGTTTAAGGACTTCTTGCAGTAGTCACTCAGGAGTCATGGGTCTTGAGATTGGCTCTGCTTCTGTTGTGGGCGGTGGGAAGGACACCGGGTGTTAGACTGGTGGTCAGATTGGACCTGGGTTCAGCAAATCTTCTGGCTAAGAAAGAATTCAGAACCAAGACTCAAACTATAAGAGAACTTTATTTAGAAAATCACAGAGGTAGAAGAAGTAATTTGTAGAAGAAATGGGGTTAGGGAGCAAGTTATAGAGGTAAAGGAAGGGCCCTTGGAGCTTAGAAGTGAGGAATAAAGGTGATGAACCTGAGGAAAGAGAAAGGGAAAGGTGCAGGCAAGCTCTGGGAAGGGAGAGGCCACTGGGTCCTCTAGCTTAAGGCTATTAAGGGTGGAGATTTTAGGGGAGGTCCCAGGGGAAAATCTCAATAGAATATTCAGCAGTTTTCTAGGTGTGTCCTTTCAGGATCTAGGTCTCCACTGGTCAGGGCAATCATTAGTCAACGCTGCTGGTCCTGAGGTCTCTCGTGTGGTTGCTTGTCTTGTTTTGCTGCTTTTCTGGGCCTGGGGCTGAAATACAGCTGAGGCTTAGATGTCTCCTCTAGGGAGGTAAGGTCAGGGGGTCCAAACTGCAAGACTAACAATATGCTAGGGAAGGAACCGTCACCCTGGGGGCATGGTCCCACCCTACAATTGTACTTTGTTAGGCACCCAGGGCTTTCCACCCTGGTGACCTTCTGTATCTGTCCCATCATCCTTGTTCTGCTCTTGTCTGTCTTAACTGCTTGCCACACAATCAAGTTGTATGAGCTAGAATATGAACTTCAGCTCACAGGGCCTTGGTTTCTTTGTCTCTTGTCTATCTCCCTGACAGGGCAGTGTGAAGATCAAAAGCCAGTAATAGTGAAGTTTCCAGGATTAGATTTGTCTGTCACATAGTAGTGCTCACTGACCACTTATGGAATCTGAATGGGAACATTGAGACACTTAGATTCAACTAACATTGATTGAAAATAACCTTAGGCCTTTTTCATATTGAGACATATAAAGAAAAAAATAAATGGCCCTGGCCAGTTTGGCTCAGCGGTTACAGCATCGGCCTGCGGTCCCCAGAGATCCTGGTTCGGTTCCCGATAAGGGCACGTACCTCCGTTGCAGTTTGTCCCCGGCCCTGGTTGGTCGTGTGGGTGGCAGCCACACGGTGTGTCCCTTTCACGTCGATGTTTCTCTCATTCTCTCTCTTCCTCTCTCTTCCTCCCACTCTACCTGAGCAAAAAATGGAAAAATGTCCTCTGGTGAGAATTGAAAAAAGAAAAAAATGGCACAATATCTCACTGTTTAGATAAACAGGTCGATTTATTTTCATTTATTTTTTTTATCCTCACTCGAGGACATTTTTTCCATTTTTTGTTCAGATAGAGTGGGAGGGAGAGAGAAAGAGAAACATTGACGTGAAAGAGACATATTGAGTGGTTGCCACCACACGACCCAACCTGGGCCGGGACTGAGGTAGTGCCCTTAGTGGGAACCGAACCTGGGTCTCTGGACCGCAGGCTGACGTTCTAACCACTGAGCCAAACTGGCCAGGGCTCATTTTATTTTAAAGACACATGGTTAAAAAATACAAATGTTATGGCAAGGAACAAGATGGAAATTAACAGCCCTCCCAAATGGTTCCTGTCCCCCAAAACAAGTACTTGAGTTATTTCCTATTTCCCTGCCTATAAATATTTATGCCTGTACTATAATATATATATTTTAAATTTACCCAAAAGAGCTAATACTGTTCACATCATTCTTTCTTTTTTAAAATTTTTTTCTTAATTGATTTTAGAGAGAGGAAGGGAGAGAGAAACATCAATGAGAGAAAACATTGATTGGCTGCCTCCTGCATGCCCCCCACTGGGGATTGGGCCCACAACCTGGGCACATGCCCTGACTAGGAATCGAACCAGTGACCTCTTGGTGCATGGGTCAATGCTCAACCACTGAGCCACACTGGCCAGGCTGTTCACACTATTTTTTAAGTATTAAAAATAACTTGAATGATACCAATAACCTTGTTAAGTTTTATGGTTAAGTTGCCTTGGGTCACAGAATAAGATGATGTTGAAGTAGGAACTAAAACCTGGGTCATATGACTCCCGGTCCAGAGATCTTATGCCATTATAGTGCACTCCCCCAGATCCTTAGATCCTTAGCTGAAGTTATTTTGCCATTCATTTCCAGAGGAGAGAGAGACACACACACACATCAACTGGTTGCCTCCCACACGACCCCGACCATGGCCAGGGACTGAACCAAACCACAACCGAGGTATGTGCCCTTGACTGGAATTGAACCCAAAACTTTTTGGTCCGCGGGCTGACGCTCTAATCACTGAGTCAAACCGGCCAGGGCCATTATAGTGCACTTTTTTGTACTTTGAGGCTAGATTTTATTCTTAGCTATAAAGCAAGATTAATGCTCCTTTCTTAAATGAGGTGATACAGGAAAGCACTTAGCATGGCACTTGGCAGGTAGCAAGTGCTCAATAAATGGAAGCACTTATTTTATTTCATTTTTTCTTTATTGATTTGAGAGAGAGAAACATTGGCCACCTCCTGCATGACCCCTACTGGGGATTGGGCCCACCACCTGGGCATGTGCCCTGACCGGGAATCGAGCCGGCAACCTCTTGGTGCATGGTTGATGCTCAACCACTGAGCCACACTGACTGGGCGGAAGCACTTATTTTTGCTTTCAATTCTCCACCACCTTGTTTGGTTCATCATCCAAAATTGGGAGGCTTAGAGTACATACTTAGTTGAGAAATTTAGGACACAGTAATCCTAGAGTCTGGCTCTGGGCCCTTTTCTTTTAGAAAAGAAGCTATCTTAGGGAGGAGTGGTCTTTTCCTGACTGAAGATAGGAAGTAGAAGTGATGTAGAAACATTTTAATTCCAGTTTTTATCTCTGTTTCCTGCTTATTTATTTTACTTTTTATAACTGCCTTTTTTGGGCTTTATGCCATTGTTTTTGTGTATTTAATAATGTTTTGTTGAGTACCTATTATGTATCAAGCTCGACTGGGATCTACTGGATTCAAGGGTGAGCTAGATAATATGTTTCCTGGCCTCAAGGAACTTTTTTTTCTTTATTGATTTGAGAGAGAGGACAGGAGAGAGAGAGAGAGAGAAACATCAAAGAGAGAGAACATTGATTGGCTGCCTTTTGCATGCCCCCACTGGGGATTTGGCCCACAACCTGGGCATGTGCTCTGACTGGGAATCGAACTGGCAACCTCTTGGTGCATGGGTCGGCACTCAACCAGTGAGCCACTCCAGCCGGGCTCAAGGAACTTTGAAGTCAGATAGATCTATGTGGGTTCGAATGCTGATTCTCCTGCATAGTAAGTTTATGACCATGGACAAGTCAGTTAACCTATCTGAGTCTATTTCCTCATCCATAAAATGAAAATATCTTGTGGGGATTCAGTGAGATGAGGTCCATTGAACAATGGAATAGGTGCTTTAAAAAAAACACCTTCCTTTGCTTCTTTGTCCCCTTGTTTCTACCTGGCTACCCCAGAGCTGACTAATAAGGTCTCTGGGTCTTTCTCTGGCCAGGGGATTTCTCATAGCCTGCAGCCATGCGTCTCTCTGCCTTGTTGGCCTTGGCATCCAAGGTCACTCTGCCTCCCAACTACCGCTATGGGATGAGCCGCCCAGGTACCCTGGCAGACAAGAGAAGGAACCCTCCAGGGACCAGACGGCGCCCAGTGGCTGTGGAACCCATTTCTGATGAAGACTGGCATCTGTTCTGTGGGGATAGGGTAAGAACCTCAGATGGGGTGGAGTGGTGGTAGGGCTCCTGGGAAAGAATCTCCCTCCCTGACCCTCATGTTTTACCATAGGTGGAGATCCTAGCAGGCAAGGATGCCGGGAAGCAAGGCAAAGTGGTTCAAGTTATCCGGCAGCGAAACTGGGTGGTCCTGGAGGGGCTGAATACAGTAAGTGAAGAGTGGGGTTCGGATGCTCAGGGAGCCTATCCCATCTATCTCTCTTTATTAAGAGCAGCACAGGGGGTCAGGAGACTAAGGGGATGGTGAGATAACTGAACCTTCTGTTCTTCAACATGGGCTGGATACTCAAAGTTGCTGTAGGCAAGCTGCCTTCACTCCCTTTGTTTTGAATTAACACCCCTCTTTTGGACAGCATTACCGCTATGTTGGCAGGACCAAGGATTACCGAGGAACCATGATCCCCAGCGAAGCACCCTTGCTCTACAACCAGGTCAAACTTGTGGATCCTGTGGACAGGCAAGCTCGTGGGGTTCTGGTTCATGCAGGTGCTAACCACATTTATTCAATGGAAACAGTGGTTTGGATGCTCTGTAAATTGAGAGGAGCCATCTCTTAGACATGACCCCCTGTAGGCAATCCCAATGACAGAGGAAACAGTGAAACAAGACGATGACCTTAGTATTTTCAGCCATTGAATTTTAGGTTGTGAAATAGCAGGGAGACCTGGCTCCCAGGCCAGGCTCATCTCTTCTATCCACTAGGAAACCCACCGAGGTGGAGTGGAGATTCACTGAGGCAGGAGAGCGGGTCCGTGTTTCCACAAGATCAGGAAGGATTATTCCTAAACCTGAATTTCCCAGAGCTGATGGCATCGTCCCTGAAACATGGATTGGTGAGGCTGGGTTAGGGACAGGAAGATGGGCGTAGGGGTGATAAAAGTGGGAGTTAGGAATGTTAAGACCTCCCACTTCTTTCCTCTGACTCAATAGATGGCCCCAAAGACACATCAGTTGAAGATGCTCTAGAAAGAACCTATGTGCCCCGTCTAAAGACACTGGAAGAGGAGGTGATGGAGGCGATGGGGATCCAGGAGACTCGGAGACACAAGAAAGTCTATTGGTATTGAACCTGGGGAGAGCAACTCCTTGTCTTAGCCTTGAAGGTTGGGGCCACATCTTCTTCAGACATCAATAAAGAGCCATGAGTCCTCCTCTCTGCAGCTGCTATCTTCTGGCACCCGTAATCCCACTGTACCTGTTTCAGAGACTGAAGGGGAGGATCATCTGTCCCAATGTTACGGTAGAACCCAGAACAGAAGTTAGCTAGCCTTAAGGTGGCTTTCCCAAGGGGCAGGGCTTATAGATTCCAGGATGGAGACCAATGGGGGAGAGGTTCCTTCCAGTGGAGACCTTTTAAGTAACAGAAGATGCCACCTGTTCTGGAGGGCAGTGGGGGTTGGGGATGTGAGACCTAATTGTCGCACTTCTGCACGGTCAAAGTAGGAAGGGTGCAAATCTGTCATTTTCTATACTTACTAAAAATGGAAGAAAAATACTTTAATTTTTTAATAAATTAAAAATAAATTTTGACATAATATTACATAACACATGGAGGGAGAGAAATAATATGAAGCTGAAGGTCTGTGGGGCACCAGGACTCCAGGGAGGATGCAAGATGCTGGTTCTCTGGGTGAGGAGTACAGACTCTGCCACCCACTGTGGCACCTGGGTGATTTCATATGGGAACAAGATGTGCTCTACCTCAGACTGCGTCAGCTGTCCTCAGTCTCCAGAACAGAGAAAGCCTGACCCAGGGGCCTCTTGGTGGCTACCAGAACCAGGTTTCTGGGAGAGAGTTCAGGGCTGAAGATGGGCAGGAGCTCAGAATGGAAGCCTGGGAGAAAGGCAGAGCTACTAAGAAGGGGAGAAGTGAAGCCCACGCAACCCCACTTCTTGCCCAGGGTGCAGGCAGGCATGGCCCCTTTTGCTCAAAAGGGAGGCTCCAGGAAACTAAGGAGACTCAGTTCTCTTCCAGAAACACCAGTGCCTGCAGCACTGACTTGGGAGGGGGCAGTCCTCTGCATACTGCAGGTTCTCAGTGCCTGGGGTGCCCACTTAAAATGCACTTCAGGGATGCATTCCTGAAAGCTGATTCGGTAGGAATCAATGTTTACAAGTCCCCCACCCCACTCCCATCTCACTGAAGCAGGTGGTCTAAGAATCACCACAGCAACAAACTGTGGGACCTGAAGGAGAAACCCCAGAACTCCAGGCCCTCTAGCCCGGGGTCCCTGCTGTAGGCCACTCACCCTGCTCCTGAAGGTACAGCAGCCGGTCCAATAGAATCAGTGTCTCCACCAGTGGGGCCAGCAACAGGGCCAGGCTGAAGAAGGCTACCACACGGTTCTCCTGGGCCTGGTGGGCCTGAAGAGCAGCCAGGTTCAGTGGCAGCTGGGGATCCAGCCCCACCCGCTGTAGCCCCCTCTGCACATATCTGTGGGGTCAGCCACACACAGCACTCAGTTTGGTTTTAGGAACCTCCAACTCCCACTCAAACCGTCCACTCCTAATTTGATTCCAACTGCTTGATTTACTACCCTAATTTGCATTTTTCTTTTTTAAATTACTGACTCTAGAGAGGGAGAAATATCAATGTGAGATACACTGGTGGGTGGCCCCCATCCCCACCCTGTACCCACAACTGGGGATTGAACCCATAACCTGGGTATGTGCACTGACAGGGAATCAAACCCACAAACTTCTGGTGCACAGAACGACACTGCTACCAATTCAGACACACCAGCCAGGGCCTAATTTGCATGTTTAAATGTTTCTCTGGCTGTGAGCTGTCTATCCAATAACAAATTAATCCAAAAAGCACTTTTAGCCAGATCTGTCCAATTATTTAGCCATATTCTTAGCAATTAAAAATCTTGACAGTCTCCTGATAGAAAAAACTCCCTTTTAAAGAAATTTTGAGAAACTGCCCCAGTCAGAGAACTCAGAATCACTCCCCTGGGAGCATTTAGATTTACTCTAGCTAGGACTTGCTATAAAGTGAGGGTGGAAGGGGAATCAGACCTCCCAACCCCCCATCTCCTCCAGCCTCACTCTTCAATCTTGAGCTCATGGACCCTGGGGATCCCCTGCACGCCTGGCCGACGGAGCTCGGGCTGGGCACGCCGGATGACCATCTCCAGTGCTGCCCGGTAGCAGTGTGTTCGGAGACCAGGTCCTGCTTTCTGTAGCCTCTCAGCATATTCCTCCAGGGCATGGCAGGCCCCCTCCCGCAGCCTGTAGGACAGTTCGTAGCCAGGCAGTGCAGCCACCCACTGACTCAGTGGGTAGCCGCCAGGGTCGCTCAACTTCATGTAGCAGCAGCCCACCGAGGCCAGGGCCACCACCTCAGGGCAGCAGGAGAAATGCCTCAGCATGGTGACACTCAGGTCCCCGCAGGCATGGAGTCCTGTCAGCAGCAAGCGGGCCTCACCCTGAGGTGAGTTCTCCAGGGGAAGCAGAAGCTCCTCACACAGGGTCCTAGGGTCCACCCACCGAACCACATGGTGTGGAGAGCAGCGAGAGGGAATGTGCACCACCTGTGGAGGCAGGACAGGACACGGCAGGTGGGAAGTCTGCTTGTCCCCATGCCACCTCAGGCTGCAGGAGGGATCTGTCCTTTGTGTTTCCTACCAAGGAAGAAGGTAGACGAGAGCTGGGGCATGGGAGAAAGCTAAACCTTGAATCAGGAGATGGGATACATTATGGATCTACCATTATCAACAATTTTTTTCATCTGAGTCCTAGTTTCCTCATTTGTAATGAGTCTAATACCTGACTGGCCACTTCACAGGCTGTGAGACGGACATTTCAGTGTGGAAAGCACTTTGTAACTAGAGTGCCTTTAAGATGTGAAGAGGCTGCCCTGGCCGGTTTGGCTCAGCGGTTGGAGTGTCGGTCTGCGGTCCAGAGAGACCCGGGTTGAGGTTTGTCCCTGGCCGATTGGCTCGTGCGGGAGGCAGTCACTCGATGTGTCCCTTTCGCGTCAATATTTCTCTCTCTCTCTCTCCCTCCCACTCTATCTGAACAGAAAATGGAAAAATGTTCTCGGGTGAGGACAAAAAAAAAAAAAAAAAAAGATGTGAAGAGGCTTTGGGGAGGGGAAACCTGGAGAAAGGGGTAGCAGAGATAGGGACCACATCATCTCAAGCTGAGAAACTTGAAAGAGGGAATCCAGCCAGGCAGACCCTGTACCTGCAGTTCTGGCTGCAGTAAGGGCAGGCCTACCTGTGGGTTCCTCTTCTCCTCTTTTTTCAGAGTCTGCAGGAGCTCCTGGTCCAGGTGCTGGGCTCTCTCCACCAGTCTCTGATCCCCTTCGATGCTCTTAACCTTCAGCCCCAGCCCCAGGGACATGAAGCGAGAGAGATGGCCCTGGAATCATGAGGGAGGGTAGAAACTGCCCTGTTCAGTGCTCTTTTCCACTGTCACCTTCTCTATCAGTTGCCTAGATACCTGGGTCCCAGGCCCCCAGAAGGCTTAAATTCTGCCCTGTTTACTTCTACCACTCCTTGATACCTGCCTCCCTGGGCCTAGGGCCTGATAACCTGTTGCCTTCCAGCTGTTCTTGCCCCACAACTAAAAAAACAAACAAAAACAAAAATACAGAATGTTAGGAGTGTCTGGCTCACCTGGCCTGAGCCTACATCCACAACCTGGGTGCAGCCTGTGAGGTCACTCAGCTTTTTCACCAACTGAAAGGAAGGAACAAAGGTCTTTTGGCCATTAGTTCTTGATTCCCAGGGCCATCACCCATAATGAGGGCGGAGAAGCTTAAGGCAGCAGAGGAAGAGGGGTAGAGAGTGCCATGGAAGAGATGAGAGGGAAACTAAAACTAGGGGCGCTGACCCTGGGCTCAGGCTACTCTCATCGCTCCTCTCAGTGATTCAATCCACCCCACCACAGAACAAGAAGAGCCCCTCTGTGAAGCCATGAGCAGATTATGAAGGTGTGAAAACAGGAATAAGATAGTGATTCAGCCCAGCTGGTGTGGCTCAGTGGGTGAGCAGCACCAGGAGGTCACCGGTTCCATTCCCGGTCAGGACACCTGCCCAGGTTGTGGGCCAAATCCCCAGTGGGGGGCATGCAGAAGGCGGCCAATTGATGTTCTCTCTCAGAGATGTTTCTATCTCTCTCCCTCTCCCTTCCTCTCTCTAAATCAATAAAGAAAAAAGAAAAAAAGATAGCGATTCAGACATAGCTACCAACCAACCCAGCAAAAGGATAATAAAAAAAAAACAAGCCCTGGCCAGTATGGCTCAGTGGTTAGAGTGTCGGCCTGCAAACCAATGGGTCATGAGTTTGATCCCGGTCAAGGGCATGTACCTCGGTTGTGGTTCGGTCCCCAGCCCTAGTTGAGGTCATGCGAGAGGCAACCAGTCAATGTGGCTCTATCACATCAATGTTTCTGTCTCTCTTTCTCTCCCTCCTGCTCTATCTAATGAGAAACAGAAAAATATCCTCAGGTGAGGAATAAAAACAAAAAACAAAAAAATCCACATATCCCTAAAACCAGCATCAAGATATGACTTTAGTATACGTGCCAAGGAAGGGATCTATCTCTTAGATATTTCTGGTCCTGTGGGTGACATAAGGTGTCCATATCTTTGTAACCCACCAGCTTGAGTCCCCAGGCTCCCAGAAAACATCTATACCCCAGGCACCTCCTCACCTCTCCCAGCCTCCGGATCTCATGCTGCTTCTTGGGCCTGACATGTTTTCGGAATGGAGCTGGAAGTCGGGAGCTCTGGCTGGGGTTCTCTGGAAACTCTGAGGGGGTCTGAAACCCAGGCGTCCGGGTAAAGGCTAGGGCATAGGCTGTGGACTTCAGGGCCAGCAGGGTGAGTGGCCACACCGACCTGTATCTGAGACAGCCCCACCCAGAACCCCAGTGAATAGTCCCATTGTGGCCAGAGTGCACCAGTTTACAACCCATGAAGCCCTTGTGAGCCTCAGGCTGGATACAGGGTTCAGTGCCAACTCCCCCTAGCACAGGGCCCCCTGCCCATACCTGACCACTTCCCCTTCCCCAGGCATCCCCAGCAGCAGTGTGGCCAGCTGTGGTGGGTTCAGTCCATCCAATGCTTCCTGCCATGAGCAAGGGAGTGTACCCCACAGGTTGTCTGTGAAAAATTCCTGCAGAAGGGGAGAAGTAATCAACAGGCTACTACCTTTCCCATTCTTCCCCACCCCACTCTCAACACAGGGGCAACTCACTGCAACCAACTGGTACCTCCTACTCATCCGAGTCACCTCTTCTCTAAAGCCTGCTCCAGCCTCCCACTCCTTCCTCAGAGTCCAGACTACATTCTGAACACACCTCTCCTTTTAGCAGTTTCCCATTTATGTGACTCTTTTCTCGATTCAACTGAATGGAGAACCTAAGGGCAGGGATGGTATCGTTTTTTGTTTTTTTTTTATCCTCACCCAAGGACATTTCTCCATTTCTTGTTCAGATAGAGTGGGAGGGAAAGAGAGGGGGAGAGGGCGAGAAACATCGACGTGAAAGGGACACATCTAGTGGCTGCCACCCGCACGACCCAACCAGGGCCGGGGACAAACTGCAACCGCGGTACATACCCTTAGCGGAACGAACCCAGGTCTCTCTGGACCGCAGGCCAACGCTCTAACTGCTGAGCCAAACCAGCCAGGGCAGGATGGTATCTTCTTTACATCAACATCCACAACACCATAGTGACTAATGTGCAGTATTAGTATGTTACCGGTTAGTAACCTACTGTTATATATGTCAGACACTTGATGTGCCAGAATGTATTTTTATTCATTCATTTGTTGAACACAAATCTGGAGCTTTGGTTATGTACCATGCTCTATTCTAGGCTCAGGGGATACAACAATGAACCAGACTGACAACATTCTTACTCTTGTAGAGTTTACATAAAATAATTTTTTTTCCCAGATAACATCAAATGCCACATGGACAATAAAACACTAACAAAACAGCAGGAGACTTTGAAAGTACTAATTTAGAGTAATGAGGGAAGACTTGAGTTGACACTTGAGTTGACACTTGAATGGTGAATAGGAAACAGGCATGTAAAAAAAAAATAGCAAACACTTATTAAATACTTCAATAAGCCAGACACTGTTCTAAACAACATATATATATATATGTGTGTGTGTGCATTAACATGTTTAATCCCCAAAAACAACCGTATGAGGTAGGGACCATTTTTATCCCTCGTTTTACAGATAAAAAAACTGACACACAATTAAGTAACTTGCCCAAGTCAAAAAAGCTAGCAAGCAGCAGAGCTGGGACTTGAAATCAACTTCACTCTAGAATTTTTTTTTTTTTAATCCTCACTTGAGGACATTTTTTCATTTTTTGTTCAGAGTGGGAGGGAGAGAGAGAAACATCGACATGAAAGGGACAGACTGAGTGGCTGCCAGCCACATGACCAACCAGGACCGGGGACAAACTGCAACCAAGGTACGTGCCCTTAGCGGGAACCAAACCCGGGTCTCTCTGGATCGCAGGTCGCTCTAACCGCTGAGCCAAACTGGCCAGGGCCACTCTAGAATTTTTACTTTTAACCAGTCTACTCTATTGCCTTTCTGTTGAGGACAAACATTCCAGGCAGATCTGTAAGAGCAAAGGTGCAGATGTCTGCCATATTTGTGAGCAGAAATCAGGCCACTGGGAATACAGCATAGTGAATGTGGGAGAGAATGAAATGTGATGAGATTCAAGAGACAACAGGGGACAGATTTCATAAGGGCTTCATAGGTATCACAAGTATTGATAGAGTTAAGGATTTCATTAAAACATATAGGAAGCAAGGGACTGCCATGATCAGATTTATAGTTTAAAGAGATCAATCTGAATAAAAAAACTAACAAACAAAAAAAGAGATCAATCTGGCTGCTTCTGAATAACTGATTATGGAGTGGCTCAAGTAAACACAGAGATTAGTTAGGAATTAGTCCAGGAGAGAGGTGATGGTGCACGGCCCAGGGTAGTAGCAATGAAATGGAGACAAATGAGTGAACTCGGTATCTTTTCTAGAGGTAGAGCCAACAGGATTGTTGAAGGATTGGACTGTAGATCAGTGAAGGGAAGAGCTGAATCAAGGATGGCTTCTGGGTTGGGGGCTGAACAATTCAGTGGATGCTGGTGCCATTAATACATCATCTCATGTATTCTTCACAATGATTCTTCAAACCGCAATCCATTTTACAGCTGAGAAACCGGGGCTAGACGGACTTTTTAAAAAAGTTTTTCCCACCCTGGCCAGCTTGGCCCAGCGGTGAGAGCATCAGCCCACAGTTCAGAGAGACCTGGGTTCGGTTCCTGTTAAGGGCATGTAACTTGGTCACAGTTTGTCCCCGGCCCTGATTGGGGTCATGCGGGAGGCAGCCACTCGATGTGTCCCTTTCTCTCCCTTCCTCTCACTCTAACTGAACAAAAAAGGAAAAAAGTCCTCGAATGAGGATAAAAAAAAAAGTCCTTGGGTGAGGATAAAAAAAGTTTTTCCCTTATCCAAGGATATTTTTCCATTACTTCTTAAATAGAGTGGAAGGGAAAGAGGGAGGGAGAAAGAATGAGAGAGACAGAAACATCGAAGTGAGAGAGACATACCGATTGGTCGCCTCCCACATGACCCCAACCAGGGCTGTGGATCAAACGTGCAACTCAGGCGTGTGCCCTTGACCAGGAGTCGAACCCGTGACCATAAGCCAAAGCTCTAACCGCTGAGCCAAGCAGGCCAAGGAGCTAGGAGAAATTTTTATTTAATGCCTATGGTTAACACAGTAAGAGAGGCAGGATTCTACATATAAATAAAGAATCCTACTTCGGGGAAATTCATTTATTGCAGTAGAGTCTGGAACTGATTAACCACAATAAACGAGGGCCGACTGTAGTCGGAGTCTGCCTGATTCCAAAGTTTAAATCATCCATTACATTACAAAACCAGGAATTTATTCAAAGCGTGGATGAATGAACTTGTGTGTTCTTGGAGAACCTCACATGTTCCTAGGAGAGTTCTACGTAGCTGCAGCGTGGCTTAAATGCCTATGCGTTTTATTACTTTGGATTTGGAAAGGTTAGAAAAATAACCTAGATATTAGAAATATTAACATTTGTGTCATATGTAAAAAAAGGGGGGGGGGGGCTGGCTGGTTTGGCTCAGCAGAACACCGGTCCGCGGACCAAAGGGTCGCGGGTTCGATTTCTGATTAAGGGCAGGTACCTGGGTTGCAGGTTGGATCCCCCCGCCCCTGTTGGGGTCCTCTCTCCCAACGATGTTCCTCTCCCCCTCCCTTCCACTCTCTCTAAAAATCAATGGAAACATATCCCCGGGTGAGGATTAACAACAAATAGAAATAATAAATTAAAAAAGGAGGAATCGTACCAGTTTCAACCACTTCTTGTAAAGACGGGCTGAAGAGATCAGAAGCTAACTCTCCAGATTCTTTCCCTGTCGTGGGCACCTAGCCAAGCACACCAGCAGGGGCACCCCACCCACAACCCCGTGGCCTCACGATGATGTAGGCGTCCAGGATGGAACGGTACAGCGACAGGACACGGGTGAGATTCACAGCTAGCTGCCTCCTCTCCTCGAGAGACAGGCCCCGGGCGGAAACGCCCGGCATCGGGGTCCAGTCTGTGGCGCCGGGAGCGAGAACGCAGTGAGGGAAGGGTCGGCACCACGCGGGCCCAGGACCTGGGCTGGGCTCAGCTCTGCAGGCGGGACGAGAAGAAAGCGCTCTGCGTTGGCCCCCGACGCTGCCTTTCCCAGGTTCCTGATAGAGGTTTAAGACCTGAGGCTTTCTCTTGACGCTACAGGTCGCGACGTCCACAGCGCGAAGGTGTCAGTGTCGAAGACTGGGGGTGCGGAGCCGGACGGTGACGCCACAGAGGCCGGCGGCCGCGCCCAGGTCCCGCCCTCTCCCTTGCACTTCCCGCCCATCCCGGAAGTGAGGCTCAGGGCCTGGCGCGCGGCAGTAGCCGTTTGTCGCGGCTTCCCCACACTGTCGCGTTGTACCTCCGCGGGGCTGGTGGGGTCGGGGAGCGCACCACGCCCACGCCGCCGCTGCTCAAGCCCTGCGAATCCCTGGTCCCACTCCGGGAGGCAGGGGGTCCTGCGGACGGCGCGCACCGACCTCCGACGCGTTCCAATCCGCGCGCCTGCCGGTCCTGGCCTCGTTGGCGCGCGCCGGTTTCCGTATCCGGCTTCAGCCGTTTCCGGTCTTACCGGGCCCGTCGGGAGGTAGGTGATCGTGTTGGGGAGCGGGCTCGGTGATCGGGCCCGCCGAAGTGTGCTCGCCGAGGTAGACTGCCCCCGGCCTCGGCTTCCCTCCCTGCTGCTATGTGTTGTCAAAGGTCCTTTCTTGGGAGAAGGACTCGGGTGAGAAGCATGTGGAGATGCCTTCCACCTGCAAACGGGGGGAAGGAGTACCCGGAATTTTATCTATTCGTGGGACCCGCGCTGGGGATGCCTAGGTAATCGAGATGTCATCTATGCCGTACTCATCGCTGGTTTCGAGCGTGCTCAGACGTTCCCTCCCAGAGCAGATGTAGAGCTCACCTGTTCTCTTTCCAGACTCAGAGATAGAGTCAAGCTGCTTGGCGCTCCAACCCCCACAGTTCACAAATGAGAGATCTAGAGAGAGAGTATGACCTCCCTAAGACCATATGGCTGGTGAATTGTGGGCTTGTCTCAGCGCTCCTTCCATCATTTCACATTCATTCCCCCTTTATCTGGGAGATTGCTCTGATGTATTTCCTGACTTACATCCTATGGAGATGGGTTTTATTGTTCTCCCAGGCCTTTGGGCTCTGTTATCAGGTTCACTTTCTTTCCCAGGGTGTACTACAAACCTCCAGATGTTGGTCTGAGATTCAGCAGAGAGTGAGTCCTCTATCCTTTCATTGGTAAGCCACTCTTCTCAATTGCTCTCCTACCACCCACCATCCTCATGTCTACCTTACTCCTTAATCTGGATTTTGGCGAACCTCCCCCCAAAAAGACATTAGAAGGGAATGCCAAGCACCGAAAATTTGTCAAGAAGCGTCGGCTCTTGGAAAGGAGAGGCTTTCTGAATAAGAAGAACCAGCCCCCTAGCAATGTGCCTAAGTTACACTTAGAACCTCCAAAGAAAGGGGAAACTCCGCAGGTGGATGGCACTTGGAAAATGTCTCCCCTTCCAAAAAATAAGACTGCTGCCTCCAGCAGTGGGTCAGAGCAGCCTCTGGACAAGAAAGCTTCTGTGCCTTGGCTGACCCCTGCCCCTTCACAGAAGGCTGTTTCTGTTATGGCTAAGGCAGATTTGCTGGGAGAGTTCCAGAGTTCCCTTCCAAAGATTAAGAACCACCCAACTCGCCCCCAGAAGAAGGACCCCCAAAAGAACCCTTCTCAAAATACCCCACAGAACTCCACATTGGCTCATTCAGAGAATAAATGCTCTGGAGCATCCCAGAAGATGCCGAGGAAAATGGTCGCAATTGACTGTGAGATGGTGGGCACAGGACCCAAGGGGCATGTGAGTTCTTTGGCTCGATGTAGCATCATCAACTACAATGGAGATGTGCTCTATGATGAGTATATCCTTCCCCCCTGCCACATTGTGGACTACCGCACCAGATGGAGTGGTATTCGCAAGCACCACATGGTGAATGCTACACCCTTCAAGATTGCTCGAGGCCAGGTGAGAGGCGTGGGACACAATGGTAGCAGTGAAGTGGGTGGGGAGAGGTCCAGGTAAGTGTTGGTGGTGGGAGAAGGCAGAATGTTTACAGAAGGAGCTGCGGCATTATTTGTATAACTGGAATAGGTAGCCTGCAGTGAAGGAAATAAAAGACACTGGGTTGATGTATTGGATTTCTCATTTCACCCATTAAGCAAACTTACTCATTGTAGCCCTATGTTGGGTACTGGGAACACAGATCAACAATGGGAAAGGAGGGTGAGCCAGGGGAAGCCTCCAGATGGCGCCCTTGGTCTGCCTCTTTGGAATTTCAGCTTCACATTCTTTGCTTTTTCAAGACATAACTCCTCTGTTCCAATAATTGCTTATATGCCAGAATAGCCCGTTGGAGCAGGCTTATCAGAGGTGAAATGGTTGGATTTTTTTTTTCAAACTATAAGAGAAAGTTTATTTAGGCAATTATAGAAATGGAAGAAGTAAGTGTTAGAAGAAATGGGCTCAGAAACCAAGTTACAGAGTCAAAAGAAGGGGCCCTTGGAGCTTAGGAGAGAGAAAGGTAAAGGTAATGTGCCTGGGGGAAGGAGAAGGTGGAGGGGAAAGGTGCAGGTGTGCTCCCAGGAGGGAGAGCACCTGGATTTTAAAAAGAACTTGAAAGGAAGAGTTGAAAAACATCCTATTTATTAGGGGCACAACTGGACAAAGGCTTGCGAGAGATAGAAGATAGGGTGGATCTGAGACAGCAGATCCACTGAGCTTTCAACAAGGGCTGTGTGTAGTCCTGGCTGGTGTTGCTAAGTGGTTAGAGCATTGGCCCATGAACCAAAGGGTCGCGGGTTTGATTCCCAGTTAAGGGCACATACCTGGGTTGCAGGTTCAATCCCCAGTCTCCTGAGGCATCTAACTGATGTGTTTCTCCCACATTGATGTTTCTCTCTCTCTCTCCTCCCTCCCTCCCTCCCTCCCTCCCTCCCTCCCTTTCTCTCCTTCCTTCCCCTTCTCTCCCTTCCACTCACTCAAAAAAAAAAAAAAAAAATCAATGGAAAAAATATCCTCAGGTGAGGATTAACAACAAAAAAACAAGGGCTATGTGTTGAAGTTAATGCGAAATAAAGGTGTTGGTGGAGAGTAAACTGCAGGTGAAGTCAAGAGCAACTAAATACCTAATTGATTAGACTACATCTGGTTTTCATCATAAATCGCTTCCCCACTGCCCAAGCTGGTATGAGACTAACGTATATCCAGATGAGTTGGTCCCTCCCGAAGGGGTCCTGTTGGGAGGCCGTGCACTATTGCTCTTGCTCAAAACCTATTTGGCATTCTGTTTTGCGAATGACCTTAAAGGCCTATGGCATATTCTTTGGTTGTCCTCGCTGGTAGTTTGTCATCATACTTTAAGATCCTGAAATGGTGAGAAGTTATTTAGTTCCAAGTCTGATGTGAATAAGTTTCCTGAACAGCTGGTAAATATCCTCTGGTTATGAGCAGGAGGAGTTATAAAGCAGTGGGACTGACTTTATTTTAAAACAGCATAAGTACGGGTCACCTGATCACTTCCCTCTGCAGCCTTAATCTATAAGTGATCTTTTATTTATTTGTTTGTTTGTTTGTTTGTTTGTTTTTATCCTCACCCGAGGACTTTTTTTTTCATTTATCTTCAGATAGAGCAGGAGGGAGAGAGGGAAGAAGAGAGAGAGAGACAGACAGACAGACAGACAGACATTGATGTGTGAGAGACACATCAAGTGGTGGCCACCCACATGACCCCAACTGGGGCTGAAGACAAACTGCAACCGAGGTATGTGCCCTTAGCGAGAACCGAACCCAGGCCTCTGGACCGTGGGCCAACGCTCTAACCGCTGAGCCAAACTCGCCAGGGTGTGATTTTTTTTTTTAATGTTTTTATTAATTTTAGGGAGGAGAGAAAAACATCTGTTGCTTCTCGTATGCACCCCAACCAGAGACCGAACCCACAACCTGGACATGTGCCCTGACCTGCAACTGGCAACTTTTCAGTGCATGGGATGACACTCAACCAACTGAGCCACACCAGCCAGGGCTATAAGTGATTCTTAATCTTTTATGGCTTGTAGACCTTTTGAAAATAAGATGAAAGCCACAGATCCTCTCCCTGCAAAACACAAACAAAAATATATGTACATCTATTTGCCTATAATTTTGGGCTTCTATCACTTCCCTGAAGCCGATCTTTGACTCTATTTGACACCACTTATGGTGTCATATGGGTACTGGAAATATCAGGTGGAACACTTGTAAAGTATATGACTACACTGTACACCTGAAATCAATACAAAATAATATTGAAAGTAAACTATAATTGAAAAATAAAAGTAAGACACACACACACACAAATACTTACTTTTATCTTGGGGAGAGGAGATAGATTTCAGGTGAAAGAAAACTTGTGGGAGAGGGCACTTCAAGGATGAGGCAGGTAGGCATATGATGGAAAATCTGAAAGGACCTAGGACCATGATGGACTTTTAGGACACAGGGCTCCACCTGAGTCCTACTCCTCACCACCTCTTCCACGCTGATTTCAGATCTTGAAAATACTCACAGGGAAGATAGTGGTGGGACATGCCATCCACAATGACTTCAAAGCCCTTCAGTATTTTCACCCCAAGTCTCTTACCCGCGACACCTCGCATATCCCTCCTCTCAACCTGAAGGCTGACTGCCCAGAAAATGCTACCATGTCTCTGAAGCATCTCACCAAGAAGCTGTTGAACCGGGATATCCAGGTAGTATCACCCCAAATGCTGCCAGGCCCCTTGCTTGGACACTGTGGAGGCCTTTCTTGCTACTTCTCCAGGCTCTGACCCCAGAATCCTTTTGGTTGTAGAGAGATCCATGTAGGCTGCTATTAGAGGAAGAGCTTTGGGGTAAGGGACCTATTAGTCTCTCTCCACGTGTACATAAGGATAGTAATTCCTGTTCTCCACCTCATAGTGTTCCAAAGGGTACTTGGGAAAGAAAAAAAGCCTTAAGTGGTTATAAAATCCTAAGAAAAGAGGAAAAGCAGGTAGTGGTGGTAGTCTAAAGACCTCAGAGTGGATGCAAGGACCTCATGTATTTTACATGTTTGGCATTCAAGAAAGGGGTGACCTGCCTGGTAAGAGGGTGTAGACACACATTATATTAGAGAGAGTTAAGGAACTGGGGAGAATGGAAGACTCAGAAGGCCTGGCTATGATCTAGATTTCTTGTCTGTACAGAATGTAGAAAAATATGGCATACACATGTTACCACAGAAAGGATTGAGGCAGACATTAGCAAAGACTTCCTAGGATTTGAACCCTTGAAATTAGATAAGGAGTAAGGCCCCACCGTAGTTCTACCTTGGCAGCCAACTGCTTGTATAGAGATTTGGGAGAGCTGGTAGGGAAGGGTAAAAACAGAACACTTTCTTATAGCTTCATGCTTTTCTCTTCCTCCCTCATTCAGGCTGGGAAAAGTGGACATTCCTCTGTGGAAGACGCTCAGGCCACCATGGAGCTGTACAAGTTGGTTGAAGTTGAGTGGGAACAGCACCTGGCCCAGAATCCCCCAAAAGATTAGCAGCAGTGGGGATACCGGTGATGGAAGGAGGCAGAAGTAGCACTGCGCCCAGGAGAAACAGGGCAGTGAACTAACGGATGACTTCTATCAGCCCCACACCTTTGGAAGCTAGAATTGTTGGGGAAAAAGAGGTTCCACCCCAGATTTAATATCCATTGAAATCTCACCTCAGGTGTTCTGTTCTATGTCTGGTTAAGAATCCCATGGAAGGAGGAAGTCTCCATGTCCAGCCCTATACTTGTTTACCTCTTGAATGGTGCTAATGACAAGTCCCAGGGTGCTTTGTTCTAGTCAAGCTTTTTGACTTTCAAGGGACAGGACATACTGAAACATTTAGTTTCCCAAACTGCCTTATCACTTGGGTGGCCATATGTCCCATTGTATGCCTTTTGTTCTCAAATGATTAACAGCACCCTTTTTCACTCAAATAAGTATCCTGCCTCCATGCACCAAGAGGTCTCCGGTTTGATTCCTGGTCAAGGCACATGCCTAGGTTGCTGGCTCAATCCTCAGTAGGGGGCGTGCAGGGAAGTATACTGGTTGGATTATAAATCGTATGATCACATTACAGTATCAGAGTATATCTATTCTGTCAGGATAATCGCCTGTTTTTCCCCACTTTGACTTTGAGAGGAGCCATCCCTGGGTGAGGTTTTGTTCTTAGGGTTACAAGGCAGTAGAGGTAAGAGTATGAGTTGGAAGTCAACTTTTTATGATTTAGGAAAGCAGTCTCTTTCTGTTTTTTTAAAAGAAATATTTTACTGATATTTAGAGAGGAAGGGAGAGGGAGAGAGAAAAAAACATGTGAGAGCAGAACATCTATCAGCTGCTTCCTGCATGCCCCCTACCAGGCAATCCAGCCCACAACTTGGACATATTCCCTGACTGGGAATCAAACCGGCAACCTTTCAGTGCACAGAATGACGCTCAACCAACTGAGCCACACCAGCCAGGGTGGAAAGCAGTTTCTTTCCTAAAGCGTTAGAGGCTTTTTTAAAACTTAGATCTAGATCCCACTTGGTAGGTTGAAAAAGAATTTAAAGTGTTTTAATGGTTTTTAGTCTTATTTTGCTAAACCAAGCCTCTAAAAACTCAATTATTCCCTTGATAAATTTTAATACTGGAAAAACAATTGTGTGGTGTTTTGTTTTCTTTTTGAGAGAGGAAGGGAAAGAGAGAGAGAGAAACATCAATAGGTTACCTCCCGTACATGCCCTCCAACCAGGGATTGAACCTACAACCTGGGTATGTACCCTGACCAGAATCAAATCTGCCACCTTTTGGTGTACGTGACAATATTCCAACCAAATAAGCCACACCAGCCAGGGCATGTATCATTTCTTTTTAACTTCACATTAAATTGTGTGTTTTGTTTTTTTGGTTTTTTTTCCCTTTATTGATTTTTTTTTAAGAGAGAAAGTGAGAGGGTGAGAGAGACAGAAACATCGATGAGAGAGAACATTGATTGGCCACCTCCTGCATGCCCGCTACTGGGGATCAGGCCCACAACCTGGGCATGTGTCCTGACCAGGAATCAAACCAGTGATCTCTTGGTACATGGGTTGATGCTCAACCAGTGAACCACACCGGCTGGACTTGTGTGCTTATTTTTAAATTTTTTCTTTATTGATTTTAGAGAAGGAGAGAAATTTAGAAACATTGATGAGAGAGAACATCGGTTGGCTGCCTCCTGCATGCCCCCCACTGGGGATTTGGCCCACAACCTGGGCATGTGCTGACCAGGAATCGAACTGGTGACCTCTTGGTGCATAGGTGGATTCTCAACCACTGAACCACACTGGCTGGGCACCTTAAATTGTTTGTCAAGATCCTGTAGGGCTATAATTCTGTAAGGGTGTTCCAGAGTGTCTGGGTGGCACTAAGTGGGCTGGGTGGCACTTGTTTGCTGGAAATAATCAGGAAGCACTGACCAAGCCTTTTTGTGTAGCCCACGTGCTCTGGTGCCTTGTCTTCACCCCTACCACAAATGAAGCCATTCGATCACACCCCAAGCCATTCGAGGCCCTTTACATGGAGTGCATGTGACCAGGAGAGGACTTGAAGAGAACACATGGAGGAGGGATGGAGCAAAGAGAGGAGGGGGGCTTGATGACGCCAGCCTGGTTGCTCCTGTTAGCTCTTGGTGGTGCACACCTGCATTTTGGGAAGGTGAGTCACAGGTCTAACCTTGTGTCTGGTATCACTGTCTTGAGAAAATGCAGACTCCATATATACACCCAGACTTGTGCCCTCTTGAGTGGCTGGGTTGGCTCCAGGGGCCAGAGTCACAGTCATGGCTGCTTGTAGCAAGGAATTTTCTGCAGCTACACCAGACCTGACATGGTCTTGTCACGTCCTGTGCTGCAGGATCTGTTTGCACAGGAAGCTGTTGAGCTCTGAGCAGGTTGGTTCCTGTTGAGCCCAGCATGAAATGTCCATGACACTTCACAAAGAGGTGCTAGGTGCCCTACACACTAGGAAGGCCACGCCTCAAACTGAGCATACACCTGAAAGCACATTACATTGTGACCAATAATCTAGAAAATTCTCATTTGAATTCAGTTGGCTGAAACAAACCTGGCTTTGTGTGTCTTGGTCAAGTAGCAACTGGCTTTTATCCTTCATCCCTTTACCCTCAAACCCCCACCCCCATATTTTGATGGGCGCCTAGCCTCAGTCTAATGTTGGAAAGAGCTCAGTTTTACTGTGTTCATTAGGAAGAAACTGGGGGACTAAAGGACCTTGCAACTATTTCATCAAACTTCCAGGGCAGAGTCCAGGTTGTCCTGCAAGGGTGCCTGGAGATCTCCTGTTCAATCCCCTTCCTTCTTCACCCCTCTGTCCCCAGGATCCTGGTTTTATAAATTCATAATAGAAGAGCCCCATTGCAGATTGCTGCCTGAATCCGTCAGCAAGTCCTGTTTGGCAGAGTGGACCATATGCATGATAAAACACAAGCTCTTCTAATAGTATTCTTTTCATGGCATAATGGTGTTTCCTAATGCTGAGCCCTCCTACTGCAGGTGAGCATTGGAAAGGGCAAAGAATGAGAACTATATCTGCCAAACATACACTTGGTAGTCTAAAACTTCACTTAACCAAGTGGTTCTCAAAAGAGGAAGTGGGACTATATATTGAAATTTCAGCCCTGCCCTGGCATCCCAGTGGTTAGAGCATCATCCTGCTATGTCAAGGTTGTGGGTTCAATCCCTGGTCTGGGCACATACAGGAATCAACCAATGAATGCATGGATAGGTGAAACAGTGGGTCGATGTTTCTCTCTAAAGTCAATTAAAAAATATTTTGTTTACAATAGCTAAGATTTGGAAACAACCCAAGTGTCCATCAGTAGATGAGTGGGTAAAAAAGCTGTGGTACATTTACACAATGAAATACTATGCAGCTGTAAGAAAGAAAGATCTCTTACCCTTTGAGACAACATGAAGGGGCCTGAAGAGTATTATGCTGATTGAAATAAGCTAGTCAGAGGAAGTACCACATGATCTCATTTATGGAATATCATGAACAAAATAAGCTGTTGATCAAAACAGATCCAGGGCCATGGAAGTAGGAAACAGACTGACAAACCTCAAAGGGAAGGGGGGTGGAGGGGAGTTGGGAAGAGATAAACCAAAGAATTTATATGGATATATACACAACCCGTGGACACAGACAATAGTTTGGGGGGAAACAGAAGGCAGGGTGGGAGTGGGGAGGAGGGAGTCAATGGGGAAAGTATTGTTATACTTCAAAGTTTTTTTAAAAGAATTTTTGGGAGCACACTGCAAAATGTCAAAAAGATGATAGCGCTGCCCCTCCCTCCACCTTCAAGAACCACTGATCTAGTGAAGGCTCCAAGGAAGACTCATTTAATTCCTAGTTTAACAGATGATTACAACTGACAATAGGAAAGATCAACAGTACTGTAATTATGAACTTGCCCCAAGGCACATTAGCCCAATTCCAAATTTAGAGACAAATGTCCATGTATGCAATATGCCAGGTACATCTATGAATACCCTACATCTTCAGTCTGTATTGTTCACAAAGCACTTTCACTTACCTATTCTATAGAGCAAGTCCCCCAAACAGCTGTGTGGTCATAATACACAAACCTGTAGAGAATTTCTTTGAGTTTATTTGAACCAAACTGATGACTAATTCCAGGAAGCAAAGTCTCAATAAATTGAGAAAATGCTTCCAAGAATGGTAGTTTCACAGTTTATTTATACATTAGAATCAGAGGAGACATAAGGGGGGGGGTTACATGAAATTCACTGGCGGTAGGTTAGAGAGGCGGGAGAAAGCTAAGGGGAGGGGATCTATGAGATTGTATAAAGAGCAAAACTGAGAGACAAACTTTTACCTTGGTGGGTATAGGACAGTTAATATTTAAAGCACATGGAGATGTCTCTGCAGGGAACAAGATAACAATGAGGGATTTTGTGGATTGCTCTGGTGTGGTGTGTGTGCCCTGAGGGGTCTGGAAAAAGAGACTGACATTTCAAGGGTGTGTTATTTTAAATGCAAAAAGACAACAGACGGGCTCATTTAAGATGACCTTTGTTGCTCTGGCTGGTGTGGCTTGGTTGAGCATTGTCTGAGCACCAAAAAGTGGCTGGTTTGATTCTTGCTCAGGGCACCAATCGATGTTTCTTTTTTCTTTTTTAAAGTGATGTAGTTTATTTATTTATTTATTTTTCTCTCTCTTTTTTTTATTTTATTTTTTTTTATTAATTAATTTTTGTTACAGATGTTTCTCCTTTTTCCCCCACTGATTTCCCCTCCCCCTCCCTCCCGGCCCTTTCCCCAGTTTTTGTCCATGTCCACTGTTCATGCATACATGCATATAAGTTCCGTGGTTTATCTCTTCCCCACCACCCCCCTATTTAGGGGATTGTCAGTCTGTACCCCACTTCCGCATTTCTGGGACTACCCCCTTCCTCAGACTGTTATGTTCATTATATTCCACAAATAAGTGAGATCATATGAAACTTGTCTTTCTCTCTTTGGCTTGTTTCACTTAGGATGATGCTTTCCAGGTCCCTCTATGTAGTCTCAAAGGATAAGAGGTCTTTCTTACAGCTGCGTAGTACTCCATTGTGTATATGTACCACAGCTTTTTTATCCATTCGTCTACTGATGGACACTTGGGCTGTTTCCAGATCTTAGTTATTGTAAATAGTGCTGCTACAAACATGGGGTACATATATTCTTTCTGATTGGTGTTTTAGGCTTCTTACCAATCGATGTTTCACTTTCACATCAATCTTTCTCTATTTCTCTCTCCCTCTCCCTCTCCCTTCTTCTCTCTCTAAAATCAATAAAAAAATTTTTAAAAGCCCTGGCTGGTTTGGCTCAGTGGTTAGAACGTCGGCCCGCGGAGCAGAGAGGCCCGGGTTCAGTTCCCACTAAGGGCACATATCTTGGTTGCAGTTTGCCTCGGGCCTTGGTTGGGGTCGTGTGGGTGGCAGCCACTCCATGTGTCTCTCTCACACTGATGTTTCTCTCTCTTCCTCCCTTTCTCCCTCCTGCTCTATCTGAAGATAAATGCAAAATGTCCTCGGGTGAGGATAAAAAAAAAAAAAAAAGGAAGCTACAGGCCTACGATGTGACTACACACCATGAACCACTTTTAGTTAGGAATTTTTATGTTCAGACCATCCTGTGTGGTTTTGGTCTCAGTTTATAAGGCCCACCTTGCAGGCCTCCCCTGAGTTTGTCAGGTTTAGTATGTGGCCCCTTTTCATCCACAGCTATATAGAGTAACAACAAGTTACATTGTTTGATACTGGGTGTTTTGTTGTTTTTTTTTAATATGTTTTATTTATTTACTTATTTTTTTATTCTCACCCAAGGATATTTTTGCATTTATCTTCAGATAGAATAGGATGGAGAGAGGGAGGAAGAGAGAGAAACATCGATGTGAGAGAGATACATCGATTGGTTGCCACCCGCACAACCCCAACCAGGGCTGGGGACGAACTGCAACCAAGGTTCATGCCCTTAACAGGAACCAAACCCAGGACTCCCTGGTCCACGGGCTGACACTCTAACCGCTGAGCAAAAATGGCCAAGGCTGATTTTATTTTTTTAGAGAGGAAGGGAGAGAGAGAGAAACATCAATGTGAAAGAGAGACAGCAATCAGCTGCCTCCTGCACGCCCCCTACTGGGAATTGAGCCCAAAACCCTGGCATGTGCCTTGATCAGGAAACAAACAGGACCTCTCAGTCCGTGGGACAATGCTTATTGCAATAAGCTTTGCTTCTTGGAGCCTTAGTGGTTCTAGCATAAAAGTCCTGGATTCTGCTCTGGCCAGTTTGGTTCAGCGGTTAGAACGTTGGCCCATGGACCAAAGAGTTGTGGGTTCGATTCTGGTCAAGAGTGTGTACCTTTTTTTTTGTATATGCCCCTAGCCGGAACCGAACCCGGGACTCTCTGGTCTGCAGGCTAACACTCCAACCGCTGAGCCAAACCGGCCAGGGCAAGGGTGTGTACCTTGATTGCAGTTTGATCCCTGGCCCTGGTCAGGGTCTTGCGGGAGGCAGCCAATCAATGTGTGTCTCTCACATTGATGTTTCTCACTCTCTCTCTCTCTGAAAATCTATGGGAAAATATCCTCGAGTAAGGACTTAAAAAATAAAATCCTGGAATCTTTTCTAACCCTTGATGTTTAACTGATGATTGCTGTCATTAATAATGGCAACTATTTATTGAGTGCTTCTCTGTACAAGGCACTGTGCTAAGCTCTTGAGGTGCATTTCCCCATTCTCTGTAAAGTAGGGGGTGGTATTCTAATTTAACAGCTGAGGAAATCAAGGATGACAAAAGGTAAGAAATCTTCCTCAGGCCAAATAGCTGGAGGTTGGTGGTGCTGGCACTCAGACCTGCCAAGTTTGCCAGTCTGAAGCTTCTGCTCTTAACCACTGCCTGCCCACTCTACTGTTAACACATCCAAGTGGCACCTCCCTCTTCCTTCCTTTCTAAAATCAATACAAACATATCCTCAGGTGAGGAATCCTTCCACTCAAAATTTTATTAAGCACCTGTTTTGTGCCAGGCATTTTGCTAGACATTATGGAAATAGCATTGTCTTTGCCCCCAAGATGCTTACAGCAATGTAAAGAGAAGCCAGCACACTAATCTCAGTGCACAGTGGCAAGTACTGTCCACATTCACTGAGAGACTTGAAACGGGAGTGATGTGATCGGATTTGTGTATTAGAAAGATGACGCTGGCAGCCAAATGGAAACTAGATTGAAGAAGGGCCAGGAGATGAGTTCTTCTGTTTGGATGAATAATGACAGAGGCCTGAATCAATGAAGTGGGAAGATTCACAAAAGCATCACTGAGGAGGTAGAATCAACAAGACTTAAGAGATCAGGGCAAGAGCACTAAAGGTAGACTTGATATTTCTGAATTATAGTGAACAGACAGCTGTGGTGCCATTCAACAAAATAGAGACTACGGCAGGCAGAAGAGCACGTTTTGGAGGAAGATGAATTGGCTATTGATTGAGTTGACTTTATGCTGCCTGAAAATAGCCAAAGGGAGATGTCCAGCCAGCTGCTGGAGATATCAGACTGGAATTTAGCAGAGTAAAAGAGATCATGGGCTGCAAATTAAGCCTTACAGACAACAGTGTAGCAGTGGGATGAGACTTTATATATGAAGGTATATATACTTTCATATATAAAGAAGAGCATAAGGCCCTGGCCGGTTTGGCTCAGCGGTCAGAGCGTCGGCCTGTGGTCCTGAGAGACCCGGGTTCAGTTCCCGCTAAGGGCATGTACCTCGGTTGCAGTTTGTCCCTGGCCCTGGTCGGTTGTGCGGGTGGCAGCCACTCGATGTGTTCCTTTCACATCGATGTTTCTCTCTCTCTCTCTCTCTGTTCCTCTCTCTCCCTCCCACTCTACCTGAACAAAAAATGGAAAAATGTCCTCGGGTGAGGATAAAAAAAAAAAAAAAGAAGAAGAAGAAGAAGAGCATAAGTTCAAGATCAGAATCTCAGGAAAT